AAAGTAGAGTAGAGTAGAGTAGAGTGGAGTGGAGTGGAATGGAATGGAATAAAATAGAATAGAATAGAATAGAATAGAATAGAATAGAATAGAATAGAATAGAATGGAATGGAATAGAATAGAATAGAATAGAATAGAATAGAATAGAATAGAATAGAATAGAATAGAATAGAATATATGTGTCATAGAATATATGCAGGTATATGCATAATTCTGTATTTATTTATTTATTTTTGTCATATTTATGTGGTGCATATTGGAGGTGGTGATCCTTTCAGAGTTGTATGCAACGAAATTTCATTTTAATGTATGCTGATTAGTGTACATTCAAAGTGACAATAAAGTTATTCTATTCTATTCTATTCTATTCTATTCTGCAAGAGTCTTTAGGAGTGTTAGAGAATGCAGATGACCTCAGGAAATCATCTAACCACATTTCCATGGAACAGAAGAACTGAAGTGGCAAAGAAATAATGGTGGAGATGTCTACCTCTACTGCTCCATTGTCGACCAAAAAGCTTTGCTGTGCTCTCTTCTCCTACAAGGGTTTCCCTATCTGGGACCCCCCACAGTTTGTGTTGAATAACAATAATTCCCAGCCATGCAGACTGAGATGTTATGGGAACTAAAATCCAAAACATGTAGAAGGTGCTAACCTTGGAAAGGTAGTTCCATCTCATGTCCTGGATGTTCTGGATTTAGGAAAAGCAGAAGATACTTAGTTCTCCCCTGAGAGTCCTTCCTTCTGGGGTGGAGGCAGTCCTGGGTTCGAGCTTTCCACCCTTTGCCCTTCACTCCATCCTCCCAGGGAGGAACCCCCCAGGGTGCAACTACTTCGCTTTTCTGTTTGTGGTGCATGTATTGATCTCCAGGGACAGTCAGATGCCGTAGATATCGTCTCTCTTCTTTAGCCAGCGTCGGCTCCGAGGGTGACGCAGACAAGGTTTGGGGCACCTGATACCTCAAAGAGGCTCAGAGGGAGAAGCAGAGACCCCCTCAGGGCAAAAGTGGAGAACTTGCAAATTCCTCCCCCCCCCCTTTTGTCTAGCACCTTTGGGTCCCACAGACGGCCACGGAGAGAGATTTCCTGTCTCCACTTCCAAAAGTTGCAGCAGCAGCAGAAGGAGAAGCAGCAGCTTCATCCTGGAGGCTTTTACAAGGTGAGGAGACCCCAAAGAAAAATGACAGTGAAGGACCTCAGACCTGGACAAGCCCCCTTCAGCAGCAGGGGGTGGGGTGGTGGGACGGTGGAGGAGATATTTACTATGCACCCCTTTTTAAACCAGCCTTTTTGTTGCTCCGTAAGGTACATAAATTGCCTCTGATTCAGACTCCTCAATTAAGTCTCCTTCTTTCCTGATGCCTGAGAAAGAGGGAAAAAAATATCTAAAATGAGGTGTTGGTGGTGAGGAGACAGGGGAGGACCTGGACCTTCTCCCTGGAGGCCCCCTGACCCTAAACCTGGGAATGGTGGAAACTGACTTCTTGGTGTCCAAGTCCAATATTTTGGGATGGGATTCTTGGATCATCTGCTGAGTACCAAACTCCCGTGCCTCTTAATCTCCCCTTTAAACACACACAGACACACACACAGACACAAATATACACACATACACCAGGGAAAACCCCTTTCTAGAAGTGTTTGAGAAAAAAGTTGCCTGTGATGGAAAGGAATTTGGGAAGACCCTCGCAGTGGTGGGAAAGCAACAGACCTTTTGGGGGTGAGGAGAGGAAGACAAATTCCAGAGGAGGATTTGCTGGTCAGGAGAAGAAGCTCAGGATGGTCCTGGAATCCTCCTGAGGTCCAACATGAGGTGATCATTGATCAAACCAGGAAGCCCACGAGCACCTTGAGGTCCATCAGAAGGAGGGTTGGGGCTGCCTGGGTGAATTTCAAGTGAGGTTCCAGGGAGGAGCAGAATAAACTCAAGGAGGACCATCTCTTCCTGGCTGCGGCTTCACACAACCCAGGTAGCATGAAAGGGGGGATCTGTATCATTGGGGGATGTGGCAGAAACTCTCCCAGCTGTGCAATGTTGCACAGGAAGGGCATTCGTGTGCAAACAATGCGATTGTGTTATGTGAGCTCACCATATTGTGATTCGGCTCCAGAGAGTGACATGAGTAGACTTGGTGAAATGGTTGTGTGAAAGCAGCCACTCCCAGGTTCAACCAGGAGCCGTCCTTTGTTCTCACTCCGGAGTTCTTCTTGCAGAAGGAAAAGACACCCCCCCATACCATCAGCAGTAGGGATCACCCCCACGCCCCCTCCAGAGGGGGCTACTGTGATCACACTGGCCTCCTTACTCTCTCTGTCCCTTGGAAGGGGTGTGCAGTGCACAAGAGGGGTGCAGAAGATATTCCTGGGGACTAGCAGCAAAGACAAGAGAGACAGGACCGGTTTGGCAAAGAGGAAGCAGATTCTGGAGAGTCTTGAGGTTCTGTGCCACCTCGAGGGAGGCAGAGGGGCACTTCAATTCTGCTGGCAAAGCCACCCCTAGATCTTTGCCTCTCTTTTCATTCTACCAAACTCTTGACCTGGGACCCTCCCAGATGGAAGGGAAAAATAGCATGCCAAGGCTTTTGAGGGCCATGTTCTCCCACCTGCTGCCCCAGAGAAGCCACAAGCACAGGTCTCCATATTCGGTAGCAATAGCTGAGGAGATATCTCAACTTTAGCCACCATCTCCAGAGGCCGCTGAGAGATTTCTCCTTCTTGAAATGGTCCTGTCTCCCACCTTCCCCACCATTTCCATCCCAGTCAAATTGGATGGATGATCCCCCTGGAGTCTTGAGAGAGAGAGGGGGATGGAGAGGGAGAGGGAGAAGGAGAAGGAGAAAGAGAGGGAGAAAGAGAGGGAGAAAGAGAGGGAGAAAGAGAGGGAGAAAGGGAGGGAGAGAGAAAGAGAGAGGGAGGGAGAGAGAAAGAAGGAGAGAGAGAGAAAGAGAGGGAGGGAGAGAAAGAGGGTGAGAGAAAGAGAGGGCGGGAGGGAGAGAAAGAGGGAGAGAGAGAGGGAGAAGGAGAAGGAGAAAGAGAAAGAGAGGGAGAAAGAGAGGGAGAAAGGGAGGGAGAGAGAAAGAGAGAGGGAGAGAGAAAGAAGGAGAGAGAGAGAAAGAGAGGGAGGGAGAGAAAGAGGGNAGAGAAACCTTCCCCCTTCTCTGGGTTCCCAGCAGACCTTAGCAGGTTTCATCTCCTCTGCATACAACATTGATCTAGTTTTCATCCTAGCTTTTGGACCTTGTCCTGATGAATAGATCCAGCCAGTGGATGAGGTTGTGGACCCTCCAGGCACTGAACACAGCCAGAAATGGAGGTAGTTTAGTAACCTGCCTTAAGTGTGTTGTAAAAACAATACATGTGAGTGGTCAGAGACAGTTTGCAGAAGGTTATAATTCCTGTTCATCCCCAGCTGTGTCGATCAACAACAGTCCCCTTTCTGCATCTTTGCACAGGGTTGCAAAGGGGGGGGATACCAAGTCCCACATGGCAGGTGTGTCAGAGGGATTTTGGGGACAGTCAACTGGAGGGACATGGCTGTAATGAACTGCCCTCCCCCAATGAAAGGAACTCATAAACACTCCCAGAAGCATCTCCAATGAAGGCTGATCCTACACATAGCAAAGTCCGGTCACTCCAGATGGTCTTTGAGAAATCCAGTGGTTCACTCTTGCTTGTGAAGCTTCGCCTCAAGGCTGTGGTTTTAAATGTTACCCCAAAAACTATTAAGAGGAAAACAAATTCTTAGAAGAAAGGGTGTGTGGTAGCCAAATAGGAACACAGAAGGAATGTGTGTTAATTGGGGCAACTTTGAAAAGTCCTCGTTTCTCAAAAAACTTTCCGTTCTCAATACGCTTTATCAAAATTTCTATGGTAACGTAACTCATATTTTTATTCTATTAAGACAATATTTCTTCTTGATGATAACAACAGTAAAAGAGTGGAGAATGAACTTGAGGGTTGATAACTGTCAATACCTAACTTTACACCTCCTATAATTTGTGCCTCTGTATGACTCTATCACTTTCTCCTTCTTTCCCAAAATGTATAAATAGGAGAGCATCCTTTTGTGTGTAGGAATCCCTTCCGCTATTCTCTGGAGGGAATTCCTCCAGTCCTCCCTGTTAAATAAATAAATACTCCAGCGAGCCTGGATTATGGGTTTGGGGGTCCTGAGTTTGATTCCAGACTATCCCACCCAGTTGCTTGTCTTGGTCTTCCGTCGCAGCTCAATGAAACCACCCAAAGATGCTCAGGCCTCTTGATGCTCAAGAACTGCAGATGCTGCTTTCTTCTCAGTAACCAGAAAGAGGAATTTCACTCTCAACTGGAAGCCCATGAACAGAGGACCCCAAGTAGGTGGATCAATGCTCCTGAAAGTGCCCTGGCCTCCATATGCAATTGCTTTGGAAACGGGATTTTTTGCTTCAATCCCCATGGACTCTACCTTCGAAGCAGGAAATAGTCCACTTAATAGTCAACCTAAATACGAGCCAAATAGTCAACTGTCCGGTAAATCTTCCTGCTCCTATTGAAGTCAATGGGTCAGGAAATCCATTTCTGCTTAACTATGTTCTTTCCCAAAGCCCAACAAGATCAGCTTGGCTCTTTTAAGAGTAATTAATGACTTGAGTCTTTTAATTCAACTTAATTAACGAGGAGGTTATTTCAAATCACGATGTTATAAACTGTCACAATTATTTTACACTTTTCCATTGGTCCCATAAAGCCGTGGTAATGCAGTGGTTAAAATGCTGTTTTGCAGGCAAACTCTGCCCACAGCCAGGAGTTCGATCCTGATGGGGCTCAAGGTTGACTCAGCCTTCCATCTTTCCGAGGTCAGTAAAATAAGGACCCAGATTGTTGGGGGCAAAATGCTGACTCTATCAACTGCCTTCTCTAAAGCACTGGGAAGCAGTATATAAGTCCTATTGCTATTTCCATCCCTTCTAAATTCTTCCATTTTCCAATCTTTTCCATGCAGCTATCTTTGATGGACCTCATGGAAGGGGGCAATCAGACCCTGCAGTTGACCGAATTCTTGTTCCTGGGTTTCTCTGGCATGCCTAGAAGTCAACCTTTCTTCTTTCTGCTCTTCCTGGCCATCTACCTCATCACCTTGGTGGCCAACTCAATGATTCTCATCTTGATCCAGCTGGATTCGCGCCTCCACAGCCCGATGTACTATTTCCTCAGCCATCTGTCCTGCTTAGACATCTGCTACTCCTCGGTCACCCTCCCCACCGTCCTGGTGAACCTCCTGCGCCAGCAGCCCACCATCTCCTACAATGAGTGCATGGCCCAGATGTTCTTCCTGATGACCTTTGCAGGGACTGAATGCGCACTGCTGGCTGTGATGGCCTATGACCGCTACGCGGCCATTTGTGAACCCTTACACTATTCTCAGCTCATGAGTAAGTGGGTGCAGAACTCTCTGGCCATGGCTTCATGGATCTGGGGCCTTGTTGACTCTGCCATTCACACTGTATTGGCCACTGATTTGGCTTTCTGTGGAAACAACCAGATCCATCACATCTTCTGTGATGTCCCCCCACTCTTGAAAATAGCTTGCAGTGACACGTATGTTAATGAGGTAGCTCTTCACACAGCCAGTGCTATTGCAGGTCTGTGTCCTTTTGTCATTGTCATCATTTCCTACATCTACATCCTATCTACAATTCTGAAGATCCGTTCTAACACTGGAAGGAGAAAGACCTTCTCCACCTGTGCTGCCCATCTAGTTACCGTCATCCTCTACTTTGGGATGATCAACTTGAATTACAACCGTCCCAGTGCGGGCTACTCCTTGGGGGTGGACACCCTGGTCTCCACCCTCTATTGCATCGTCACCCCCATGCTGAACCCCCTAATCTACAGCCTCCGAAATAAGGAGGTCAAAGGGGCCCTGCAAAAACTTCTGAATTGTTAGAGCAGTGTTTCCCAACTGTGGCAACTTGAAAATGTGTTGACTTCAACTCCCAGAATTCCCCACCCATAAACAATGTCCTGTTTATTTCTTTTTAACGGGACTTTATTACTATGTCTGACGAGGTATGGAGGATCAGTTTCCCTGTTTTGTTTATGGGGGTTCTCAGTCCGCCAGGTGACGGTTGTCCCAAAGGTGCTTTTCCAAAAGGCAACTGGACTTTCTTTGTTTTTCCTTGAAGACGTTTCGCTTCTCATCCAAGAAGCTTCCTCAGTTCTGACTGAATGGTGGAGGATGGGTTTATATTCCTTGCAGTCATCATGTCGTTAGCGCTCTCTCTGAGAGTCATTGAGGCCACCTGGAAGTTTATCTGTGCCCGCAGGGGACTGATACGACTCCACCTGTCTCCCGATGCTCACAACTGTGGGGAGCCTAGAGTGTGATGGAACCCCTCAAGCGGCTTATTTAATCATGTGCGGTAGCTGGGGGAGGGTATTGGTTTTTTTATCTTTTTTATTTTTATTTTCTATTTTGTGTTTTTATTGTTTGCAAGCCACCTAGAGTTGCTGTGAGTAGGCAGTTATATAAATGTTCTAAAATACAAACAAACAAACATGAATGAATGAATGAATAAAAAATAAAATAAAATAAAATAAAATAAAATAAAATAAAATAAAATAAAATAAAATAAAATTAAATTAAATTAAATTAAATTAAATTAAATTAAATTAAATTAAATTAAATTAAATTAAATTAAATTAAATTAAATTAAATTAAATTAAATTAAATTAAAATAAAATAAAATAAAATAAAATAAAATAAAATAATAAAATAAAATAAAAAAAAAAAAAAAAAAAAAAAAAAAAAAAAAAAAAAAAAAAAAATAAAATAAAATAAAATAAAATAAAATAAAATAAAATAAAATAAAATAAAATAATAAAATAAAATAAAATAAAATAAATAAAATAAAATAAAATAAAATAAAATAAAATAAAATAAAATAAAATAAAATAAAATAAAATAAAATATTCCACCAGACTGGAATAGGCTAATGTATAGTACAGTCATCTTTTCANATAAAATAAAATAAAATAAAATAAAATAAAATAAAATAAAATAAAATAAATAAATGTGAAATTCTCATAAGGACCAGTTCAAACCAGCCAGAGACAAGAATTGCCCAGAGTTGAATTTTAATAACCTGAAAACTCATTGTAATGTAAAAACCAAACTTAGTGAATATACAATTGGGCAAGATTAACAAGATCATGCTAAGAATATTATGGGATGATACGAACTGTTATACATAAAGCTACTGAGCATGCTTACTGGATCATGGTTAAATGATGTGGACCAATGGAAGAACACATTCTGAACCCAATTTGTTTGTATATAAAATCATTCCCCGTCTTTCTAAGTTGCTCCTCATCTCTTATCCGTGAGGTGCCTCTTCTTCCTTAGGCATAAATAGAGCAATGTGAATCCTATTCGGGCTTACAAATCTTGTTTCTGGCTAACCAAGTAAACCTAGAAATGTCCTTTTGCCATGGTTTCTCAATATCAGTACTGTCTCAAGTCCAAATGGCATCTTTGGTAAAACATTCATCTTAATTACGTTAATCCTACCCAGTAAAGATAATTGCACTTTGTCTGATCGTAGTAAGTCTTTTTCAATATCATTCAAAACAGGCACAAACTTATTCTGAAGCAGTTTAGAATTTGTATTGGTCAATGTAGTCCCAAGATATTTCATCTTTTTCTCCACCTCCAAAGTTTCATAGTCTTGAAATTAAGGTTATATTCTTAACCAGCATTTTTGTTTTCTGTTTATTTAGTCTGAAACTTGCTAAAGCTCCAAAGTCATGGAGTTTTCTCCTCAGATATTCCGTTGTCCTTTCTGGGTCTTGCAGAAATACAACTAAATCATCAGCAAGAGTGTCTTGCCTTGGTTTCTTAGGAAAGAAAGACCCTCGACTCCATTTGTACGAAGGTCCGACTGGTTACAGTACAGCAAAGCCAGAACTAATATTTACACGTGAAGTTTTCCTAGTTAACTTTCCCTTCCCGTTCCTCCCCCCCCCCCCATTATCTCTTTATTGTCCAGTTACATACAAAGGATTTGTTTTGCTAATGGTCCCTGCATTGGCAGGTTACATGGAGAGCTGTTGGACTAAGGAGAAACTTCCTGACAGTTAAAACAATTAACCAGTGGAACAACCTGCCTCCAGAAGTTGTGAATGCTCCAACACAGGAAGTTTTTAAGAAGAGACTGGACAGCCATTTGTCCGAAATGGTCTAGGGTTTGCTGCCTGAGCAGGAGGTTGGACTAGAAGACCTCCAAGGTCCCTTCCAACCCTTAAATGGTTCAACCAAAATGGCGACATAGGAAGGAAGGATATGACCTGTAGAATCCCATAGGCATTGAGCAAAGGAGCCCTGTTGAAATTTGCAGCTACACAACGCCTCATTGAGGTAAAACTGTTGTCGATCTATAGACAAGAATATGGAGAGAAGGTAGGAAGGTAATCCCATTGTTTTACTTCACTGTCTTCCAGGAGATGCATCGTTCTTCTCCTGAGTGCGCAGAAGCTTTCGTAGGGCCCCTTTGACCTCCTTGTTTCGGAGGCTGTAGATTAGGGGGTTCAGCATGGGGGTGACGATACAATACAGGATGGAGATCAGAGTGTCCACCCCCAAGGAGTAGCCCGCACTGGGACGGTTGTAATTCAAGTTGATCATCCCATAGAAGAGAATGACGGTCATCAAGTGGGCAGCACAGGTGGAGAAGGTCTTTCTCCTTCCACTGCTAGAGCGGATTTGCAAAATGGAACGTACGATGTAGACATACGAAATGACAACCAGGAGGAACGGGCAGAGCCCTACAAAGATACTCGCAGTGTGAAGAGCCATCTCGTTGGTATAGGTGTCACTGCAGGCAATTTTCAAGAGTGGGGGGACATCACAGAAGATGTGATGGATCTGGTTGTTTCCACAGAAGGCCAAATCGGTGGCCAACGCAGTGTGAAAGATAGAGTCAACAAGACCCCAGATCCATGAAGCTGTGGCCAGAGGGACTCGCACCCTCCTACTCATGAGCTGAGAATAGTGTAAGGGTTCACAGATGGCCGCATAGCGGTCATAGGCCATCACAGCCAGCAGTGCACATTCAGTCCCTGCAAAGCTCATCAGAAAGAACATCTGGGCCATGCACTCGTTGTAGGAGATCGTGGGCTGCTGGCGCAGGAGGTTCACCAGGACGGTGGGGAGGGTGACCGAGGAGTAGCAGATGTCTAAGCAGGACAAATGGCTGAGGAAATAGTACATCGGACTGTGGAGGCATGAATCCAGCTGGATCAAGATGAGTATGACTGAGTTGGCCACCAAAGTGATGAGGTAGATGGCCAGGAAGAACAGAAAGAAGAAAGGTTAACCTCTGGGCACGCCAGAGAAGCCCAGGAACAAGAATTCAGTCACCTGCAGGGTCTGATTGCCCCCTTCCATGAGGTCCATCAAAGATAGCTGCACGGAAAAGATTGGAAAATGGCAGAATTTAGGAGGGATGGAAATAGCAATAGGACTTATATACTGCTTCACAGTGCTTTAGAGAAGGCAGTTGATAGAGTCAGCGTATTGCCCCCAACAATCTGGGTCCTTATTTTACTGACCTCGGAAAGATGGAAGGCTGAGTCAACCTTGAGCCCCATCAGGATCGAACTCCTGGCTGCGGGCAGAGTTTGCCTGCAAAACAGCATTTTAACCACTGCATTACCACGGCTTTATGGGACCAACGGAAAAGTGTAAAATAATTGTAACAGTTTATAACATCGTGATTTGAAATAACCTCCTCGTTAATTAAGTTGAATTAAAAGATTCAAGTCATTAATTACTCTTAAAAGAGCCAAGCTGATCTTGTTGGGCTTTGGGAAAGAACATAGTTAAGCAGAAATGGATTTCCTGACCCATTTATTTCAATTGGAGCAGGAAGATTTACCTGACAGATGACTATTTGGCTCATATTTAGGTTGACTATTAAATGGACTATTTCCTGCTTCGAAGGTAGAGTCCATGGGGATTGCAGCAAAAAATCCCGTTTCCAAAGCGATTGCATAGGGAGGCCTGGGGACTTTCAGGGCATCAATCCACTTACAGGAGGATACAAAAAATACTCTTTTCAATCTCATAGTTTTGCCAAAAGCAAATAACTCCAGCATTTGGATAGCCTTTCCCAATCTTCCACGCCAAAATGAGAGATCAAGAATGTGATGCAGGGCTTAAAATAATAATAATAAAAAAGTGAAAACAGGATACTGATTGAACGTATGAATATTAAGTGCAAATGCAATTAAGATATGTTTTGATTAGAAAAGTTATCTAAAACTGACATTATTGATATTATGAGAAAAATGTAACAAAAGATGCTGACATTCAGTTGTATATTCATTAATAACAATAAGAATTGTATTTGCCTAGTGTGGGAAAACAGGGACTACTGGAAGAAGAGAGAAAAGATTTGATGGTGGAATATTGAATCTAGACTGAAGAAGCTAATATATACCACTGAATTACTAATGGACCCAGACAATTAAGTCTATTAAGTATTTGACTGTAAAACTAGAACATTAATTAAATATTTATTAAAAAAGAAGGTGATGCAGGGAAAAGATCAAGAGAACTTTGTGCAGCTGATCAAAAAGAGCAGACGCAACCTTGGGGATCGTAAGGAGAGGATCCTAATCAACGTGCAAATTTTCCTGCAGCCACAAAAGGAGATTTTGGATGGTCCCTGCATTTGGGAGGGCTTGAGCAAAAAATAAACACATCAGGAATTATGACCTTGTGCATGGTGTGAAGGTACAAGCTGCCTCTGATCACATGCACAGTGTGTGTGTGTGTGGAGGGGTGATCCCTACTGCTGATGGCATGGGGGGAGGTCTTTTCCTTCTGCAAGAAGAACTCCTGAGTGAGAACAAAGTACGGCTCCTGGTTGAACCTGGAGTGGCTGCTTTCACACAACCATTTCACCAAGTCCACTCATGTCAGTCTCTGGAGCCAATTCACAATATGGTGAGCTCACACAACACAATCACGGTGTTTGCACACGAATGCCCTTCCTGAGCAACATTGCACAGCTGGGAGAGTTTCTGCCACATCCCCCAATGATACAGATCCCCCCCCTTTCACGCTGCCTGGGTTGTGTGAAGCCGCAGCCAGGAAGAGTCGGTCCTCCTTGAGTTTATTCTGCCCCTCCCTGGAACCTCACTTGAAACTCACCCAGGCAGCCTCAACCCTCCTTCTGATGGACCTCAAGGTGCTCGTTGGTTTCCTGGTTTGATCAATGATCGCCTCACGTTGGTCTTCAGGAGGATTCCAGGACCGTCCTGAGCGTCTTCTCCTGACCAGCAAATCCTCCTCTGGAATTTGTCTTCCTCTCCTCACCCCCAAAAGGTCTGTTGCTTTCCCACCCCTGCGAGGATCTTCCCAAATTCCTTTCCATCACAGGCAACTTCTTTCTCAAACACTTCTAGAAAGGGGTTTTCCCTGGTGTATGTGTGTATATTTGTTTCTGTCTCTCTCTCTGTGTGTGTTTAAAGGGGAGATTAAGAGGCACGAGGAGTTTGGTATTCAGCAGATGATCCAAGAATCCCACCCCAAAATATTGGACTTGGACACCAAGAAGTCAATTTCCACCATTCCCAGCTTTAGGGTCAGGGGGTCTCCAGGGAGAAGGTCCAGGTCCTCCCCTGTCTCCTCACCACCAACACCTCATTTTAGATATTTTTTTCCCTCTTTCTCAGGCATCAGGAAAGAAGGAGACTTAATTGAAAAGTCTGAATCAGAGGCAATTTATGTACCTTACGGAGCGACAAAAAGGCTGGTTTAAAAAGGGGTGCATAGTAAATATCTCCTCCACCGTCCCACCACCCCTCCCCCTGCTGCTGAAGGGGGCTTGGCCAGGTCTGAGGTCCTACGCTGTCATCTTTGTTTGGGGTCTCCTCACCTTGATTTTCGGAGGTCCTACTTCGACGACGAAGAGGAAGACGACGACGACGTTGAAAACCTTCACCTCTGTCCTTTAGAGAGAGACACCGGCAGACACCCTGGGTTTCCACGATCTGTTTTCCCCCCCTCCTTAAACGTTCAAGAGGTGAAAACGGGACTCCCCCAGAGACGAAGAAGGAGGCTCGGAGAAACTCCATAGTCATGCCCCAAACCTTGTCTGCGTCACCCTCGGAGCCAACGCTGGCTAAAGAAGAAAGACGATTTCTACGGCATCTGACTGTCCCTGGAGATCAATACATGCACCACAAACAGAAAAGCGAAGTAGTTGCACCCTGGGGGGTTCCTCCCTGGGAGGATGGAGTGAAGGGCAAAGGGTGGAAAGCTCGAACCCAGGACTGCCTCCTCCCCCAGAAGGAAGGACTCTCAGGGGAGAACTAAGTATCTTCTGCTTTTCCTAGATCCAGAACATCCAGGACATGAGATGGAACTACCTTTCTGAGGTTAGCACCTTCTACATGTTTTGGATTTTAGTTCCCATAACGTCTCAGTCTGCATGGCTGGGAATTATTGGTATTCAACACCAACTGTGGGGGGTCCCAGATAGGGAAACCCTTGTAGGAGAAGAGAGCACAGCAAAGCTTTTGGGTCGACAATGGAGCAGTTAGAGGTAGACATCTCCACCGTTATTTCTTTGCCACTTCAGTTCTTCTGTTCCATGGAAATGTGGTTAGATGATTTCCTGAGGTCATCTGCATTCTCTAACACTCCTAAAGACTCTTGCAGAATAGAATAGAACAGAATAGAATAGAATAGAGTAGAGTAGAGTAGAGTAGAGTAGAGTAGAGTAGAGTAGAGTAGAGTAGAGTAGAGTAGAGTAGAGTAGAGTAGAATAATTGTATTGCCACTTTAAATATACACTAATCAGCATACATTAAAATGAGATTTTGTTGCAAATCTAAATAAATCTAAATAAAGAGCAGCAGGAACAGTAATTGACACTCTGATCTCCATCCTATATTGCATCGTCACCCTCATGCTGAACCCCTAATCTACAGCCTCCGAAACAAGGAGGTCAAAGGGGCCCCGCAAAACCTCTGAGCATTCAGGAGAAGAACGATGCATCTCCTGGAAAGCAATGAAGGAAAAACTAGATCTCCTTCCTAACCCTCTCTGCTGGATGGATGGATGGATGGGTGGGTGGGTGGGCGGATGGGCGGGTGAGCAGGAGGACAAACGGATGGATGGATGGATGGATGGATGGATGGATGGATGGATGGATGGATGGATGGATGGATGGATGGATGGATGGATGGTGGGCGGGCGGGCGGACGGACGGACGGACGGACGGATGGATGGACAGATGGATGGATGGATGGATACTGGGGAAAGATGTCTATGGAGATTCTCAATCATCCATGTCATGGTTGTCCCAAAGGTGTTTTTCCAAAAGGCAGCTGGACTCTCTTGGTTTTTTTCCTTAATGTTTTGCTTCTCATCTTAAAACTGAAAAACCTTCTTGGACATTTTCAAAGGGAAAACCCGGAAGAAAGTCCAGTTGCCTTTTGGAAAAGCATTTTTGGGACATACTGGAGGAAGGCTGTCCCGCCTGGAATCTCCAATGACAAAGCTTTGATTGATTTCACCAGAAAGAGCACCAGACACCACTGTATTTTGTAGCCACAAATATGCTGATCGGATGCTATTTCGTACATCGAAAGGTAACTGGGAAATTAAACACCGATGGATTAAAATATATTTCATGTTGCTTATGGTTTAATATACTTCCTCTGTTTTCCAGTGGCTGGCGTGCAAGCGATGAGGATAAGAGAACAGGAGATCTCACAGGTTTTCTCTTGTTCCATGAGAGGTTTAGCCAAGATGGAATTGGGAGCCCCAGAAAGATGGGGCATGTGAAGGTTGTGGGGATCCAGTTCCAAAGATTGAAGAAACCAGGTTCAGAGAACACCGCATGACGAGAAGAAGAGGAGGAAGATCCTGGAGATGTACAATTGCTCTAGGAAGGAAAACGCATCCAACTGTTCCATGCAAGAGAAGGCAGGTCTTCTCCACTTCTCCTATCTCAGGAGAGGGTTGTGGTCTGGTTGTGTTGCACAACAAGACAGACAAGGCGCTGGAGAAGCAGGGGATGGGTGCTTCCACCATTGGGCAGATCTTCACGAAAGGAGCTTCACATAGTTAGCGGGGAACAGGCCAACTCTACCCCCGCAAGATCCACGCCACCAGCCCTCGTCTACCCGTTCGATGGATGTGATGGTATCTCCAGGGTCAAAGGAAATCTCATCATCCCCCTCTGGAAAAAAATGGAGAGGGTCTTAACTAGCAGGCAACGTTTGTTCAGACCAAGGGTAGGCATTTTCCTGCCAGAACAATTAATCAATGGAACAGCTTGCCTCCAGAAGTTGTGGGTACTCCAACACTGGAGGTTCTTAAGAAGAGACTGGAAGACATTTGTCTGAAATGGTATAGGGTATCCTGCTGGAGCAGGGGGTTGGACTAGAAGACCTCCAAGGTCCCTTCCAACTCTGTTATTCCTCACCCATCATAGCCACCTCCGTGCGCTTCCCAGTCCCCATTATCCAGAAGAATTGACCTACCTCCTTGATAGTCATAAAGGGCCAGGGCAGATAGACTTCCTTCACTCACATCATATACGTGCTCTTCAACAGCTGAAAAAGAAAATTGTGGAGATGGAGTATCTTATTATCACCATCGTGTGAATTATTCTGACTCTTACCCAGCGCAGTTAACTTGAAAACAGTTGAAGATCAACCGCTTCCACATTCAATGGTGCGAGAATTTAAATCAAGGCACATCTATCAGAGAGGGATATATTCCAAGAAGGATTTTGGAGTCCTAGTGGACAATCGCTTAAATATGAGCTGGCAGTGTCATACAGCTGCCAAAAAAGCCAATGAAGTTCTAGGCTGCATTAACAAAGGGACAGAATTAAAATCACGTGAAGTGTTAATACCACTTTACAAGGCCTTGGTAAAGCCACACTTGGAATACGGCATCCAGTTTTCATCACCACGATGTAAAAAAGAGGTTGAGACTCTGGAAAGAGTGCAGAGAAGAGCAACAAAGATGGGCTAAAACATATGAAGAACAGTTATGGCTGTGGTCTAATGAAGAGAAGGACCAGAGGTGACATGATAGCAGTCTTCCAATATTTGAGGGGCTGCCCCAAAGAAGAGGGAGTCAAGCTATTCTCCAAAGCACCTGAGGGCAGGACATGAAGCAATGGATGGAAACTAATCAAGGAGAGAAGCAACCTGGAATTAAAGAGAATTTCCTGGCAGTGAGAAAAATTAATCACTGGGTTAATTGACTTATCTCCAGAAGTTGTGAGTGTTCCAACACTGGAGGTTTTTAAGAAGAGATTGGACAACCATTTCTCTGGAATGGTGTAGTTTCCTACCTGAGCAGGGGGTTGGACTAGAAGACCTCCAAGGTCCCTTACAACTCTATTACACTCTTATTCTGTTACCAAGAGTGCTTCAAATGGTTGAATGACTTCCCCCTTCTCTTCCTGCTCTCACCCTTGCAAAGTTCTGTTGTGATGTCCAAAAGGAATTTGTCTTCCTGCATTTCAGTTATTCTGCATTCTGAGGGAACCGGGATGCTCTTAAAACAGGACCCGGGGAACTGGGATCATTCTTCCAAATGCAGTCTCATTCTCAAATTCAACTTATTGTCAAGGCTGAATTGCTAAGATGCTTACTAGCCTCTGTTGCTACTCAACGTGCCATAGAAATGGGGGGGGGGGAGGGAGAGCCTGGGAAAGAAACGGGAGTTTCAAGAAGTCATCCATGGACCATGGGACCTAAGGTCACAAAAGCAGGCGTCTGACGGAGAAGTGGACCGTTCCCATAACAAAGCGAAGGGATGTGATTGGGCAACGTGAACACTTGGTGGGTGGGGATTATGAAAAGCTATTGTTAACTAACCAAATTTTCATGTGGGAGTTGGTTTTGTTTCTTCAGTGCCAGGATGTGTATTCAATAAAGTTTATCTCTTATGGCATCTCAAGACTGTAAAGTTTCTTCAATATTGAATTTGCCAGCTGGACGGTCGACATTTATTTGTTTGTTTGTTTAGAAAATTTATATGGCTGCCCAACTCATGGTGACTGTAGCTAGCTTAAAGAAATAAAATCCCAAATATAAACCCCAATAAACCTCTCACTCCCCTGGTGACAACAATCAAATCAATCACTTGATGGGCTCCATATCACTCTGGGGTTCCCAGGACTGTTGGCAAAACAAAGTATTTAGGGTCTTTTGGAAAACTGGTGGGACCAGTCTTATCTCCACAGGGATGATGTGTCACAGGGAGGGAGCCACCACACAGAGAAGGTCCCTCTTCCTGGTCCCACCAGATGGACCTTCTTAAGAGAGGGAACTCACAACATACCCTATGTTCTGAAGTGACCTTCTCTAGCCCAGTTTTCATAAACCAACAACCAGAACATACTACAAGTTTACATCAAGACTGGAGTCTCCAGGGTGAAGGTAAAGTTCACCCTGTTCAACCAGCTTGTCCTCTTCCTCTTACCTGAAGAAGTCATTCCTCCAGGATGACCACTGCAGAGCTCCTCATACTCCTGGTCCACCTCAGCACTGTCATCATTGGAGACTTCCTTGTGATCCGGCATTTCCTCATAATCCCCTCCTTCATCATCAATGAAGGGAGGAGGTTCCGGACGGTCCAGATTTTCAATCACCTCCTCGTAGTCACCACCATCTTCGATGCTTTCCGTATAGATGGGATGTTCCTGCTCCTGGTCCTGGCCAGAAGGTGGGAGAGGAGGTTCTCTGGTGCCACCTTGCAAGTCCAGGCCCCGTGGAGGAAGAACTGGAGGATTATCCTCTTCTTCTTCTTCTTCCTAGAAAAAGAAGAACCACGTCCCTCAACAAATTCACTTCTCATCAAGTCTACTCTTTCTGGAGGAACCAGAATTTGACTAGATAGGCCCACCAGGACAATCTTTTGTTCATAATGACAGACAGCAAAAGTGCACACTACATGACACTGTATGACTTACAACCACAACTGAGAGGCGATCTCTGAGCTTGGCAGTTTTCTTGCAGACCTTTCATGACCCAACTAGGTAACATCTTCCGTGCTTAGGAGCCTTCAATTCTTCTAGCCTTGATGATGTTGCCCGGTTGGGTAATGAAATGTCTGCAAGGAAGCAGCCAAGCTCAGAGAACATCAAGGACCCCTCAGATGCACAGAAGCTGTCTGGAAACCCAGACCTTTGTAAGCATGTTTCCCTTGATACCAGCAATGTTGTGAATTCACATTCAGACATTACACTCGCCATCTCCCCTACCTGGTGTTCGGGAGGCAGAGGGGGCAGGTTGCCCTTTCTGTGCGCCTGTCCAGGCACCGACGGAGGGCTCTGAACTCGCTCTTCACTCCTCTTCATTCCCTTAAAGGAGAAAGGACATTCAGCAGTTTGGCCCCGCAGGCCAATCTTTCTTTGATTTTCCTCCATAGCAGAAGAAATTGATAATATAGAGACTACTAAGGGCCCATGTCTTCCCAAAGAAACGTTTCCATTTGCAATGGTGGCGAATATCTGTAGCTCGTGTGTAGGATGAGGGTGAAGGTTCGTTCTCCGAGCTTGTGGGTTGGTTTCCGAACATTTCGTTACCAGGCTAGCTAACATCTTCAACAGAGTTTAGGGGATGTCAGTGTCAGTGCTCTTCTATTTATGAGGGCTTCAGGTGTGGGTGTGTGGAGTGAGGGTCTTGTGATGGGTCTTGTGATGGGTCAGATGTGAGTCATCAGTGAGAGGCTTGTGATGGGGAGGTTACATCATGTCAGGGTCCTTGGGAGGTGAACTACTGGTATTGGGGGATTGCGCGGGATGGTTGAGGGTTGGTTGAGGGTTGGTGCTGTCTCTGTTTAGCTATGTGGTTGATTTGGATTCTGAGGGGTTTGTAGGCTGGTTGTAGGTCAATGTGTCTGTTTTTCCATTCTCACGAAGAGGGGGAAGTCTCTGAAAAGGTCCTTCAGGGTAGAGATCACCACAGTCTTCTGGCATTTATTGGCCTCATCTACTCCCTTAGACAGCTTTAAGAGTATGGGTAGCCCTCAACTTGCAACAATTCATTTAATGACTGTTTGAAGTTACAACAGCATGGGGAAAAATGACCATTTTCCACAATTACAACCACTGCAGCATCCCCATGGTCACATGATCAAAATTCAGTCACTTGGCAACTGACTCCTATTTATGGCAGTTGCAGTATCCCAGGGTTACGTGATCCCCTTTTGCGACCTTCTGACCAACAAAGTCAATGGGGAAGCCAGATTCACTTCACAACCGTATTATTAACTTAACAACTGTGGTGATTCACTTAACCCAAGGATGTGAAACTGCCAGCCCGCAGGCCAGATGCATCATAGTGAAATGGCGCCCACCCCATTGCCGCAATGGCAAAAAAAGTCACGATACATCACGACACGTCACGTGACATTGCGAGTTTGATACCCCTGACTTAACCAGTGTGGCAAATAAGGTCATAAAATGGGACAAAACTCACTTAACAACTGTCTTGTTTAGCAACAGAATTTTTGGGCTTGATTGAAGACTACCTGTAGTCTACTCATGGAGTGAAGGTGAAAACACAAGGCTAACTGGCCCCGCATACATGAAAATTAGCTTCACTTCTGTGAAGTTGTGGTAACACTTAGCAACAATCCTAAGCCAAGAAGGACTTAACCCCAGAGGTCAGCTTAAGAGGACTGATGGAGAACATGTCTTGTCAAGGCTCTCACCTTTGACTTCTCTTGGGCTTCCTGAAGTTGCTGGGCCTGGCGACGGGCTCGGTCCTCTTCTGCCCTCTTCTTGTTCTCTTCCTCTGCAGTCTTGGCCATGTTTTCAAAACGTTGCCTCAAGTTACCCATCCCAGCAGAAGCTGTTTCCAACGAGAAGGTCAATAGAGAAGATTCAGAATTATGAGAAGAAGCTTCCTCCATCTCCAATCAAAAGGAGACGCAGAAATTGTCCCCGGTAGGATTGTGTAGGTCCTCTGAATGACTGGTCTTCAGAAGAGTGCTATGAAACACCCAGTCTCTCCTCAAACCAGGGCTGTCCAACCTTGGCAACTTTAAGACCTGTGGACTTCAACTCCCAGAATTCCACAGCCAGCTTGTCTGGCTGGGGAATTCTGGGAATTGAAGTCCACAAATCTGGCTGGGGGATTCTGAGAGTTGAAGTCCACCAATCTTAAAAGTCTGAGAGTTGAAGTCCACACATCTGGCTGGGGGATTCTGAGAGTTGAAGTCCACCAGTCTTAAAGTGACCATGGTTGGACACCCCTGCCTTGAATCTTCAAATGAAGGGGGACCACCCTTCACTCTGACAAAGCCATCTGAAAGGACCTCCTCCTTTGTGTAGGTCAAATGGGTTCCCCTTGGGATTACCCCCTGTGAGGTCAACGCCAGTCAACACTTGCTAGCATCTTCCAAGTTAAACTGCTTGGAATCTGTGAATCTCAAGACCACATCCTGGAGGGTTATGTAGCCCTCATCCTAGCTCCCGAGCGTTCTTCATGGAGGACAAATTGGGTCTTAGAAGAGTTGAAATTGATTAAATCAAGCAGATATATGGCCACAGAAATATCATCTTATCGGAACAATCCCATAGATTTGCAACAAAAAATGGTGGTGTGTTTTTTTTAATTTTGATGTCTGGCATTCCTCTTGATTTATGGGAGATGCTTTCCTCTCTGTTTGATTGTTTTACTCTTCCCTTTTTGTTTTTGAAGGAAAACAGGTGCAGGAAGTAACCTGAGTTCCTCCATATAGTAACTTGAGATTCTCAGCTACGAATGTGCGTGTTTATGTCATCTATTGATTACGCAATAATCTCTCCCACCTTTCTGAGATGTATCAATGGGAGTGCACCTCTTCGTTGGGTGGGGGGCTCTCCCTCTTTGGAGGGAGTCCCACCAGCACCTGCTGTTTACTCAAAGCTACGGGAAACCTGGATTATTTGCACTGGGTCCTGCGTTCGATTCCACATTCAGCATCCATGGACGTCTTGCCAGGGATGAGAAAGGGGCATGTTCTTGCTCTGCATGAGATCTGCCCCTTCTTCCCAGGTGCTGATGGGTAAACTTACCAGCCTCTACAGGTTTTGTCTTCTGATATGAGGAAAGGGGAGCTTCCATTTCACCAAAACCGGCAGCGCTCTGCAAGAGAAGTCAGGGGAAAACCGATAAAAAGAGAATATTTGTAGCCCAGGAATGGTGCTGCCTGAGCTTGATGGTTTCCTTGCAGACGTTTCATTACCCAACTAGGGAACATTGTCAATGCTAGAGGGGAGGGGAGTTTGCAAAGTAGAGGGATAGGGGAGGAGCAAGTGGAGGAGGACTGTGGGGGTCCTTGGTGCTCTCTGAGCTGGGTGGTTTTCTTGCAGACGTTTCATGACCCAACTAGGGAACATCATCAGTGCCAGAAGGGATTGGGGTTTGTTGTTGTTGTTGTTGTTGTTGTTGTTGTTGTTGTTGTTGTTGTTGTTGTTGTTGGAGGAGGAGGAGGAGGAGGAGGAGGAGGAGGAGTAGAAGGAGGAGGACTGTGGGGTCCTGGGTGCTCTCTGAGCTGGGTTGTTTTCTTGCAGACATTTCATGACCCAACTAGGGAACAGCATCAGTGCTAGAAGGGGAGAGGAGGAGGAGGAGGAGGACTGTGGGGTCCTTGATGCTCTCTGAGCTTGGTAGATGTTTCATTACCAAATTAGGTAACCTCATCAGTGCTAGAAGGGAGGGGAGTTTGCAAGGAGGAGGAGGAGGAGGAGGAGGAGGAGGAGGAGGAGGAGGAGG